ATTATAATATGATAATCAATGTTATTTAATGATAACTTTTGTAATTAGAATTTAAACTTGATAACCATGTATGAATGCATATTAGTCATTTTAACTGAACTGACTGGTGGTGGTGCTTTTTGGTCATTCAGTGTTTCTGTAAAAAAAATTGGGGAAAAACTAACAAAAATACTGATAAGATTATAATAATATGAATTCTACTAATAAAGATTTAAATTTAAAACGCACTAAGGATTAATGATCTGCTGAATTCATGAATATTAATCGGGTTGTGTGTGTTCGCTCGAACTGATTTGCTGAAATCAAAACAGGGACGATAATAGGTGAGCGCCAGCCAATGAGATTGCCGTTTGCGCATTAGTTCTGCCCACTACCGGAAAACCCGGCAGTTCTTAAAAGCTGAAGAATTCCAAACGAGCGCTGTTATTTTGACAAGAAAATACAACAAAGAATACCGTTTACATGTAGCACGTCAATTCTCTCTCTCTCTCTCTCTCTCTCTCTGCGTGTGTGTGAGACAAAGCAACGGCGAGTCATGTGCCTTCACACTAGAGTTCTGCGTGTGTGTGAGTCAAAGTGTCGACAAGGTGTGCGCCTTCACACTAGAATTTACGGTACGTTAAACACAGGTGCGGTGCGCATCCATTCAGATGAACTGAAAAACAGCACAGATCGCTTGACGGAGAGACACTCAGAGTCAGAGTGTTCGGCGAGTGAAAATATATCTGCGCTAAACTTATACTTGGCCTCCAACTCACACACTGGCGAGTAAAATCTGAGAATGTATTAGCCATTGGCTAATATTAGACATCATTTAGTCGCCAGAGTGAAGATTTAGTCGCATATGCGAGTGATTTACTCGCAATGTAGAGGGTTGGATCTTATTGTGAACAATTGGTCACACTTTATTTTAAGGTCCAATTCTCGCTGTTAACAAACCATTAACTATGATTTTTGCCTCAATAAATGTCTAATTTGCTGCTTATTTAATAGTTAAGGTTAGTAAGGTAGTTGTTAAGTTTAGGTATTGGGTAGGATTAGAGATGCAGAATATGTGCTTTATAAATACTAATAAACAGCCAATATATTAATAATAGGCATGCTAATAAGCAACTTGTCACTAGTGAGAATTGGTCCCTATACTGAAGTGTTACCGAACAATTCATCTATATGTTCAAATGATTGAGAGTTTGTGCAAAATAATTGAATTGAAAGGAATTCAGTGCCAATACAGAAGCGCAGTTCTCACAGTTTGTAGTCTGAGGGTGAAATTTGAAGGTACATTTTGAGGTTTTGTTTCGTTACAGTGACCCTGTTTCTCATATTGGTGTTTGTGTCATCACAGGGCTCCAGAGATCATTCTTGGCCTGCCTTTTTGGGAAGCCATAGACATGTGGTCGCTGGGATGTGTGATTGCTGAGCTCTTCTTGGGCTGGCCCCTCTACCCAGGAGCCCTCGAGTTTGACCAGGTAATTCTTCTAACATGATGCATCTTTCTTTTCCTGTCTGGACGAATCTCACGAAACCTGCTCAGAACCAGAACCACTGGTTATATTTGTCGTAGACGGGAGTCACTTTCTGCAAACAGAAATGAGATTTAAATTCTCTCTGCTGCAGCGTGTCAGTCCCGCTTATCAGGAAAGCGAGCGAGTAAACACATACGCAGTTTGACTAATTCAAACGTCATTAATAATGGCTCACTTCCGTTATTTAGTATGCTTGCATTCACATCATAAGCGAATCGTACCAGAGTTTGCTTGAACCATACCCTAGACCACCATTTTTAGGTGGAATCTAGTATGGTTTGCAGGTGCGCTCCCGAGTTCAGAAAACCGCATTCACATTATCCAAACGAACCGAACCCTGACGTCAAATGAATCCGGCTGAGCACTAAAATTGCTAGTGTGAAAGCCCCCTAAAACCCTACAAAAATTGTGATGGACCTCTGTTTGTTTTATGCAAAATACAATTTGCATATTATAAATTAAAGCAATAAGCCCCAAGAAGCCGTGGTTTACAGTGAATTTATAACAGCTAAGGGGTGTTGTTGGGCACGACGTGAAGCGGAGTGAATGACATAAATAAAAACATTTATTCTTCCGCTAAACAATGCAGTTCTCAGAAACGGTTGTGGTTGCAACAAAGTGGTTGCCAAGCAACACAGATGTAAACAAAGGTGTATGTTTGTAATTTACAACAGCTTTGAATGCGGCTCAACCAATCAGAATCAAGGACCGGAACTATCCGTTTTATACTATATATTTTAGTTAAGTAACACTTTGTCATTTTATTTAAGGTCCAATTCTCACTATTAACAAACCATTAACTACAACATTTACCTCAATAAACTCCTTATTTGCTGCTTATTAATAAGTAAGGTAATTAAGTTTAGGTGTTGGGTAGGATTAGGGATGTAGAATATGGTCATGCAGAATATGTGCTTTATAAGTACTAATAGGCTCTAAAATCTTTGGTTTTGGTTGTTAAGTAACACAGATACTTATCACACAGAACGCATTTTTTGCAGTGAGAGGCGCCTTTTTTTAATTGTTTTCGGTTGGCAGTGAGCGTTCTGCGCACTGTTTAAGCGCCCTGTGTGCCTCGCGTTTTCGCCGCCTGCTGCGCCTCGCGTTTTTGCAGGAGCGCTCTGAGCGCCTGAAGTTGAAAAAAAAGCAACTCTGAGCAGAAAAAGCGCCCGGCGTCATTCGCGTTTTTTCCATTGTCCAATCGAATGAACGGAGAGGCGGGCCTTCCGTTGTGATGACGAAAGTTTACCGTTGCTTAGAAAGTCCGGAGACTGCTATGTTGGAGGAGAAACATTTGGTGTCTGTCGCGGGTTACCCGGAGC